GTTGGTATCCTTGACTGTGGTGACTTGTATCTGGGCATGGTTTTTTGTTTTGTTTTGTTTTGTTTTAGCTGAGCCATCCTGCTACCTGTTGGCAGCTCAGCAGCAGCTCAGCTCGGGCCAGGGATCGAACCGCTGTTGCTCAGAGCTTACACTCTTGAGTGAGCTCTTAGCCAGCTGAGCCACTTGGCCGGCCCTGGGCATGGTTTTTTGTATGGACCCTGGAAGCTAATGCCATTTATGCTTTATGCAGTGTGTTCAAGAGACACTGGCTTCCTGCCACAGCCATGTGAATGGGCTTGGATGCAGATCTACCAGCTGCAGCTAAGCCTTCAGATGACTGGGTCCCTGCTGATGACTTGACTGCAACTCAGAGTCAGAAGCACTGAACTAAGCCTCTCCTGGATTCTTGACCCTCAGAAACTGTGTGTACTGACACACAGCATTTGTTGTTTGAAATTGCTAAATAGGGGGTAATTTGCTATACAGTAGATAACTAATACATAAGAGGAAGCTGATGCATTCCATTTTAGGCATGCTGAGTGGGAGGTGATAACAGGAAGGCAAAGAAGGGAATCTGAGAGTCAAAAAGGGACCGGCTCCGGAAAAGAGGTGAAAAGTGGGGGGTAGATTCTGGAAGACCTTATATAGAGACGGCAGTTCATTCGTTTATTCCAACAATGGGGACACAATGTGGGTCAGGAAGGACAGATATGGTCCCTGCCCTCATGGGACAGACTGACATTTATCATTTATTATTGAGGGGAAAGGCCACTTTGGTTTGGAACACTTTAATCAGAGGTACGAGTTGAACAAATAACAATAAAGGAGTTCTTCAAAGAAATTAATATAGAAAAAGGAACAGATAGCTCAAGATACAGCCTTAGAGATTTCGATTTGGAGGAGGAGGATACATAGAACAAAAGATGAAAAATGTTAGCAGAGCACAGAGTTCAGAAAAGTTCAGTGACACAGACGCAGACGAAGGAAAGAAAGGCACAGGGCCCTTTCCCCAGGAGCTCATGAGGACACTCAAAGTGTGCGGTTCAGTCCAAGTTCAGGACCACAGTCTGGCTTCTCAGGTCTCTACTTTTTCTTCTAATAGGAATTGGGGTACTGATCCTATGTAATTGGGAGAGGAAGTGAATTTCAAAGGAGTTCAATTTGAAACTTGTTCTCAGTTTCATTTTTAAAAAGGGAGAGGTAACAGAGGAAGAGGTTGAAAGTGTTCATTATAGGGTGTCCCTTACAATGGCATCAACATAGCTGGTGTTATCGGAGGTGTGGTGAGCTCTCTGTTTGCCTCTAAGGATCTTTCCATCATCCCATCACTGAGCCCCAAACCCTGCCAGCTGAGAATCGTTCCTTTGGGTTTCAAAGTCTTTGGGCCACACCAGGAAATAAACATTTCAATGCATGTTGACCTTAGCTGCAAGTTCAAAAAATAGGAAAGTGAATGTTATCTTTCCTACCTTTTTCAATCGTCTTGGTTAGAGTCTTGACTTGATCTTGTAGCTTTTTAATCACTCTCTCTTTCATGTCTAACTCTTCTTCAAGCTCCTATGGAGATCACAAGAAACAAGGACATCAGCTCAGAAGCATCTAAATTTATTTTTTGGTAATAGCTTTATGGCGCTGTAATTCACATAGCATACCATTCACACACAATATAAAGTTTACTATACAACTCAGTGGTTTTTATATAGCCTGTTATGCAACCATCACCATTCTCTAATTCAAGAATATTTTTATCACACGGAAAAGAAACCTGTAACTTCTAGCTGTCACGCCCTAGTCTCCCATTTTTTTCTAGCTCCTGGAAACCTTGAGCCTACTTTTTGTCTCTATATAATTGCCAATTCTGGACATTTAGTATAAGCGGAATCATACAATATGTGGCCTTTTGTGTCTGGCTTCTTTCACTTAGCATAATGTTTTCAAGGTTTATCCATACTGTAACATGTATCAGCACTTCATTCATTTTTGTGGCTGAATAATATCCTATTGTGAGGATATACCACATTTACCTTGAACTATTTTTTCCTTAGTAAAGAAATGCCCATTGCAGAGAATTAAAAAATATGAATGTGTGAAAATGGGCTCTCTGGATATCAGAAGCTGGAGGCAGAGAAACTCTTTAGAGATTGTGGTCCCGGCTTTGCCTTTCCTTCCTGAAAAGGGGTGGCCTTCCCCAGGTTGATTTTGGCTCAAGAACTGGGAGAGTCCTGGATACCTATAAATATTTCCTACGAAGGGCATAGAGTGTTCAGGTTCTTCCTGAATTCCAAGGGCTGTGACACAGAAAGGCTTCAAGCTTCTCCAGTCCAGAAATGCCCACCATGCATTGTGTCCCTCTGGGTACTCTTGGGACCAAGGGAAATTGTGCTGTTTCTACTCTGTGGCTACCTCTCCCCTTCTGTGGTTCTGTGCCCATGGCTAAACACCTCCGAAACATGACTGACCTTTCAAGTGGGGATGTGGGTACAGTTTCTTCCCTCAAATTTTAGCCTATCTTACTATACATCTAATAATAAAAAAGTCACCCACCAATCCATAACCTGGAGGAAACCACTGTTTACATATTATTTCATTCCTTTCTTTTTCTAATATGGCATACATATGTTTTATAAAATTGGGATCATACTGCATGTAAAGTTTTATATCCTATATTTTTCTCTAATTATATTAGACATTTTCTCATTGATAATATACCCAAACCATCATTTTAATGGCTAAGTCATATGACATATAACAAGTTAACCTACCTAATCTTATTGGTAATCCATTTTGTTTCCCTTTTTTTAAAAAAAATCCCTATGATTAATTACATTATTATGAACACTCTGAACAAAAATCTTTGTCCACATATGTGATTACTTACTAGGGATAGAATCTTAGAGGTCACATTACTGAGTCAAGGGGAATGCACTGCCAAGGGTTCATGATATTTGCCTGCAAATCACCCCTGTGAAAGATTACACCAATTTATATTCCCAGAAACCACATATGACAGGGCCCACTTCAAGGTGGTTTCACCAGCACCATAAGATCTCTATTATTTGAGAGGCAAAGATAATCTCTAGTTTTAATTTTGAATGTCTTTGATGAATACTGACATGATCACTAAAATTTTTTTTATTATTATTCCTTTTGAATAAGGATTTTCTTTGACTCAGAGGATCATTAGTGGGTTATATAGTATTCCCTCAAAATTCATGTCCACTTAGAAGCTCAGAATGTGACCTTATTTGGAAAGAGGGTCTTTGCAGGTTGTAATAAAGCTAAGGATCAATATGAGATCACACTGGATTAGGTGGGTTCTAAATCCAATGAGACTATCCTGAGAACAGATAGTAAAGGACACCCGCAGACATACAGACGCAAGTCCATGTGAAGATATAGGCAGAGACTGGAGTTATGCTGTCACAAACCAAGGAATTCCAAAAGCCACCAGAAGCTGGAAGAGATAAGAAAGGCTTCTACCCTAGAGACTTTGGAGGAGTGTGGCTCTGCCAACACCTTGAATTTGGACTTCTGGCCTCCACAACTGTGTGAGAACACATTTCTGTTGTTTAACTCACCTAGCTTGTGGTAATTTGTTATAGCAGCTCTATAAAATGAATGCAGGTAAGACTCATTTGTGGATAGCATCCACCACTTATTAATATATAGGAATTATATTCTTTTGTGGCATATTCATTGATTCAGGAATAGTTCGTTGGAATTAACATACAGCCATAACTGTTCCCCAGCTCAGTGCACTGTGGAAGCACCAGGGCTGGTCTGTCTCTGCCTGAAAACAGAGCCACACACATGGGGGCTCCTGAGGAGGGGCGCTGTGTGGGACATCACTGTTCCTGGAGTGTCAGAAACAAATTCACACAATTCAGGGAGTGACACACACCCAGAGCCACATGCTCACAGCTAGACAATGACAGTTCACATGGATAAGACGTGCAACATGCACACGACCCCACCCACATATCCTCTCCCTTAGCATTGGCCCCAACTGAGACCCTGGGGACACACATGCACACACAGCTGCAGAAGGCAGGACGGCCTCTCACACACATTCAACAGACAGTTGCTTATTTGGTGAGATGTGCAGAGTCTATTCTCTGAGGAAGCTGTATTCCTTTGAGAAAAGATGGCCGTCATCTAGGTGCTCCTGACTAGAATTTGTTACTTCCTAGTAAATGTTAAATTCCCAGGATTCCTCTTTTTAGATATAATTACTCTTGAAGGTTAAATCCTGACACTGTAAAATATAGTTTTACCCTATTCTGGTTTTCCTATGAGATAGAAAATGGGGGGCCCTGACAATGGGGAGCAGGGCCTGTGGGCATGTCCACGCTGCCCACTGTCCTGGTGAGCTCTCCCCTGGTCATGGTATTAGGGGCTGCCAAGCCAGGACAGGGCCTGAGAGCACCCAACTCCCAGGAAAGGGCCCCATCCGCTACTTTGGTGCTTCTCAGTCTTGTGGATTTTACAGACCAATAAAATCTCAAAAGTATTGCTGGGGACTGACATAGCATTGCTGCATTTCTTTCTTTTTCTTTTTTTCTTTAACAGATATTATCTATTAATTCTTTTTTTTTTTCAATTACAGTTGACATTCAGTATTACTTTATATTAGTTTGAAGTGTATAGCACAGTGGTTAGACATTTATTTAACTTTCGAAGTGGTCCCCTCAATTAGCCGAGGACCCACCCAGCACTAAACATAGTATGTTGCCGAATTTCATTTTGACGAAGGCATTTACAATTTCATGAAGACTTTAACAATTTAAAAAGTCTGTCGTCTACTACCATTATTTCACAGAAGAACACTTTGACTCTAAAATTTGTAGGAAGCACATGCTCCCAGAAGAATGCATGGGCATCGTCATCTCAGATGAGTACCGTCCACGGGACAGTGCTCAGGACCCCTGAGCTGCCTCATCTCTCCTCTCTACCTCCCTTTATCTTACCAGCACCTCCCTGGTGTGGCCCATCAAGTCACAAGGCTCCCCTGCTCTGGGTTCAACCTCAGAGGCCACCGGTGTTTGGAGGACAACAGGCCGTTGTGACGCAAGATGGCTTTTGGTCTACAGCTGTCCATCGTATGCTTTAGGTGGCAGGTCCCCCTTTCCATGACATCCACACACAGGCAGCTATTTATCTACAAGTTAGAAAACTTCTCACCCTGTTTTCCATAGTGAGACGAGATGCTTCCTGCAGGAAACTACTCTCGACTTCACTTTCAGTTTCAAATTGTTTCTTCAAGTGCTTGCTGGCCTCTTGCATTTCTTGACTCTTGCCCACCGGCTTCTCTTTCTCTGTGGTGAGGATTTCACTGTGGCCTTCTGTGGGCCTGAGAAAAGGAGAGAGGAAATTTGGGTAGCAGTTTAACTGTCATGGAGAAGTAACTCGTTGTCATAACAAGCACTGATATTTCCAAAGATGGAAAAAGACTTTGGGCAATTTATGTGTAAAGCAAATAGTATCTGAACAGAGGAGTCCTTGAAGAGGGTGGAAAGAGACCAGGGTTGGCTGGGGTAGAAAATTGTCCATGGCCTGCCCCAGTCTCCTTAACCTGATA